CCTGCCTGTCTGTCTGTCTGTCTGTCTGTCTGTTTGTCTGTCTGTCTGTCTGTCTGTCTGTCTGTCTGTCTGTCTGTCGGCGTGCCTTGCGTTTTCAGCACGTAACGACTCTTATTTGCCGGCGTTCTTCTCTTTACTCAAACAAACAAACAAACGCAGACTTGTGGTTGCTCATGTTCTTTTCTGCAGCAATATGTTGCTGCTGTGATGTCTGGTAAGAAGATTTTTTTTTTGGTGCAAGATGATTAACATGTTTTTTTGCTGCCATGGTGGCTGCCATGGTGGCTGCCATGGTGCCTGCCATGTAAAGAGAACGGCAGGTTCCTTATTCTTGTGACTCGAACTCTTGCTTGTTAATTTGTTTCTGGAAGGTCTGTATCCGCGTGAGGACTTCCGTTGACATTGTGTTGTTTGTAGGACTGATGCAGTCACGTCGTTTCAAGGAAATTGTGTGTGTGTGTGTGTGTGTGTGTGTGTGTGTGTGTGTGTGTGTGTGTGTGCGTGCGTGCGCGTGCGTACGCGGTGGCAAAGGCGTATATGTCTGTTGTACGTTTTTTTCCATTTGAATGTTTCATGCCCCAGTCGACACGACAACACAATAGGACTCGTGCAGGAGGCAGACCCTGGTTGTCAGGGCCATCCGAGGTTGTTTGGAGTATCGTAGACCAACATCCCAGAAGAATGATCGTGAGTTGTTGGCGAATTCTTTGACATGGTTGGCTCCTTCTTTGCTATCCAACATCTTACATCGTTATCTCTCCATATTTCTTGTGTTTGTTACTGTTTTATAACAACTCTAATCTTCTGTGATCTATGTTGCAAGTGCTGCAAACTGTTACGAAAACAAGGAGAAAGATGGATATATACGATACAATATCCTCGCCTCGTAGGGTGGGAACTCACGTCTTCTGCGTCCAGGGCCCCGAGTCTGAGGATTACTTCACAGACGCCGATGCGTCGCTGTAGATCGAAGCAGCTCAGGGGCAGCCATGTCGTTTTAATCCATTAGAACACAATTTGATGTCAAAGGTCAATTCAAATTTTGAAAAACGCCACACACCTACACATTGGTTCCTATGTAATCCATGTCCAACCTTTCCATTTGCTCCACGTTGTTCCCCGCGTGAATCGTTGTGGTTCCCTCAAGTCTTTTCACCGACGCCACGCCCCCCGTCAGTTCTTCAGACGGGTGTCTCCCATTGGCTTGATTCATGAAGCTATCACCCAGCTCCTCCTCCGTGATGCCTTGATTGGATGACGATGGCCTTAGCCCCTCCTCCCCGGAGCCCCCGGCGGATGTCGAGGGCACGGGCGTCCACTCACGTCTGCCCGGACGACACTCTGCACACACGTCGTATCCGCACCAGAAGCGGCAAAATCCGCCTCCGCAGCACCCCGACCGCACCCCTCTCAGCGCACTGAAGAATCCGCTGTGTAGACGCGCCCGGAAGGTCTTGCTCATGGCGAGGTAGAGGAATATCTTGAAGCTGTAGAAGGCAAAGGTGAAGGTCATGTCCAGCGTCTTGAGCAGGGTGATGGTGTTGCTGAAGCGGTCCACGGCCTTACAGTCCAGCTTGAAGAACCCGCGCATGAACAAGAAGTCGGTAATGTTGAGGGTGGCGGTGAAGGTGGCCAGACACATGAACACGAGACACAGGACCAGACAGATCGTCCGGAAATCACACAGCGTCGGGAGCTCGAGAAAATACTTTGACATCTCGGTAGCCACCGCTTTTTCCTCCGCTGCCGTGCGTCGGATCATGGCTGTGGCGGTCAGGAAGAAGCAGGCGGAGACTAGCACGAGCGGCAAGAACAGCTCTGTCATGTTGTCCAGCACGGGCCAGTACCACGCCATAAAGCTCTGGGAGAACTCCTCTGTGTACATGCAGCCCACCTCCGGCTGGGGCTTGCTCCAGGTCCAGAAGTGGTTAATGTCCAGGCACACCACCAGGATGGTCAGCAGCATGACCACGTTCCGGGCGCGCTCCAGGGAGCACATGACGTACGTCCGGCGCGGCCACCGGGAGGCGATGGTCATCTCTACGGCCACGGCCACGAGGAGCCAGGGGCTCAGGTGCTTGATGAACATGAAGGCGAAGGTGTAGGTCTTGCAGGCGGCGTCTGAGCTGCCGGTGATCATTGCGCTCAGGCTCTCCTCCATCACCTCGGAGTACCTGGCGAGTGGACGAGAGAGTGGAAATGTACTTTTGTTTCCGAAGAGTGGAAACATATTGCTTAATATTCTTGATTTAAAAATTTGACACACCATAAATATGCTTTAAAGAGTGGAACGACGATAAATATACTTTCTTTAAAAGAGTGGAAGTATGGAAAATGTGCTTTCTTGAAAGTGGAAATAGATAAAATATACTTTCTTCGAAGAGTTGAATTATCATTATTATAACATACCTTTTTCTAAGAGTGGAACTATGATAAATCTATATTCTTCAAAGAGTGGTTGTATTATAACTATATTTTCTTTAACAAGTGGAAATATGGAACATATTAGTTTTTCCAAGGAGTAGAAATATAATAAATATACTTTCTTCAACAAGCTTGAAAAGTGTACAGAACATTAAGAATGGGTATACTTTTTAAATGGTGTAATACTATCTTTAGCAAATCCTATTTTAAAAACACGTTGAAGATACTATTTTTCAATGCCGTGTTTTAAAGCATAAACGCGTTTTAAAAAGTGTATACTTCTTTCCAGGGTATTCTTTTGTATTTTAAAATATGATTTGGAAAGAATCACCAACAAATAATATTTGCATCATTTCGAAAAGGCGACAACTGAATTTTAAAAGGAGATGAAAGGGGTGGGTGTTGGAGGAGGGTGCTGATGGTGCATATCGTTAGGATTTTGATGCAGGAGTACAGAAAAGAAGGGGTGAAGTGTCGTTTGTTGTACGTGAAAAGATCGACGAATCCCTTTCCTTGTTTGAGTTGAGGAGATAGCTCATGTCAGTTCGATATATTGAAATGAAGGCCTGCTTGAGCGGAAAAGGTGGGTGGGGGGAGGGGTGGGGTGGGGGTGGACGAAGGGGGGCAAAAAATTTTGTTGAAGTGTTAGCGAAAGGGGAACGAATAATGGAGGAATGTGAGGGGCTACGGGTTGATGAAATCAAACAAAAACCCAGAGAGTTATTGAAAAATGTGAATAGGAAAACAGAGGGGGTGACACCGTGAA